GAAACCCATTATTTGGAATACATGTGCACTCTCTGCATTGCAAAACGCAACTGGGTCATAACTGTAGGAATTGTGGGTCTGGGGCACTTGCAAGTTAGGTTTAAAAGCCCCTGTAAGGAACTCATGATGCAGTTCCTACCTCAGTGATGTCATGACTGCAGATGCCAAGGTTGGGCGTGGAGTTCAGATTGTTATCTGATATCAAGAGTGGCTGTTTAAGGATGCCGCACATGGAAGAAGATGTTTCTTTCACAGGTACTAAATTCTCATGGATTAAGTTCTTAATATTTTTAATACAGGAAAGATGTTCTTCAACTTCCACATTGTGGAGAACTGATTAAATCCTTTGGATGGAAGCATATCTGACACCACGGCATATAAAAGTCAACGTAAAATGATGAACCAGTTTATTTTGGATGCCATCTCCAAGTAAGCAGAAAGAAGAAGGTTATCAGGAGTCAACATGGATTCACCAAGGGGAAACCATGCTCAACCAAACTGGCAGCCTTCTGCAACGTCATCACCATCCGGGTAGATGAGAGGAGAGCAATGGATGTTGTGTACCTCATCTTCAGCAAGGCCGTCTCTCACAACAACCTTCTAAAGCAGCTTAGGACATGTGGGACAGATGAGTGGTCAGCGAGGCGGATGGAGAGCTGGCTGACTGGCCAAGCTTGGAGCACTGAGTCCGGCTGGAGGGCTGCACCTCGCGGCACCGTATGTGACCCACCGGCGCAAGAGGGCCCAACCCACGCACCTTTGTGTTTCTTCTTGCTCTTACTCTGAGCAAGCTTGGGTAATAATTCAGGCTGTTACTGCTAGAGATCCTTCGGCTGTATCATTTTCACATCAGTACAGTTAGCATTTCCCAGTCAGCTTGGTCAGGAGGAGGATGAACTACAAGAACAAAAGTGGGCTTCACGTTCGTCTTCGTAGCCTAACCACAGCTGATCAGCTCAGCAGTATTATGGGCTCAGACGATCCCATTTGCAAAGCTCTAATACCCCGTTTTGTGGATCCCTCAAATTTCTTGCCTTCTTGTTTCCTCATAATCATTCCAAATCATTCTTCCAAAGTTTTCTTTTCAATCGTTAAGAAGGGCAGCCCTTTAGTCACTGCTCTTCAGGCCTTCAGTGTTTGCTCATCCCTCCCAGCTCCAGGGAACCACAAAACTATGTGCAGAGGAAAATAATTCAGTAGTGCCCTGAGAAGAGAGCAAGTGCAGACTTGAAAACCCTTAATGCAGCAACAGGCTCCTTCACAGCTCTGTGTAGGAACTGCAAAGTAAACAGGGAACCAAAGAGCACTTCCCTCCTATCTCAAAACAGTAAGCTGTATCAGCTGCTTCTCTTTGCAAAAGCAGTGAATGAATTTCCATTTCTGATGGTCTTTGGGGTTGTCAGCCACCCTCTTGCTCCTTGGCAAAGTAGGTGACACCACTCTGTTGTACAGAGAAACGGGAGGATTGATCTTAGTCTGTCTGCTTGGATATGAATCCTAACTGCTCAGTTTGACTTTGGTTTTCAAACTATATTTTTTGCCTCCTGCACTGACCTAAATACTGCTGTGTTTGTTTTACAAACATGTCAGGGGAAAACTGGTTTTGCCCTTGCCCTACATTTCCTTTTATTTTTTCCAGTTGAGCATGTTTAATATTTTTCCCTCTTTCTCCCTTATTATAGAAGCTACTTTTTCAAGTACAATACTTTAGTCATTCGCTGGAATTCAAAAGCTTGTGAGGGGGCTTCGTGTCCCATTATTTAAAGGGCCAGCATTGAACCAATTTATTTCTATTAAATAAACAATTTGCTATTCAAAAACACTTTAAATGTTACTGCTTTGATTAACGTTTATAAGGCTTTAAAAAATTCAGACTGACAAAGAAAACTTCCATTGCCAGAGTTTACCATTTCTGAAATAAGGGAAAAACTCACTTAACCTCTTCTGAGTTCATTTTCATTCCACTGCTTTTTGTTTCCATCAGACTATTCCCTCTGCACACTTGCCCTCTATCTCCATTTATCTGATTAATTATCCTCACTTTTAGGTACAAACACTTACCTGTGTTTGATCTAGAGAGGAATGATTGTCCACCATTGAAATCACGTGTGATATCTCACTGTGTTCTCAGTTTCCTTCTCTGCTCAAAATTCATGTAACCTTCCCAAGTATTTCTGTTTCAGACTCTAAAAGGTCAACACTCCCTTGAGCACCTTTGAAACCAGAGCACTCTCACTATTCCACATCCTCCTTTTCATGGGACTGGCAATGCGCGTCACTGGCATTTCAGAAATTGCAGAGTACACTGGGCAGCATGCAGAGCTAAGCAATCCCAGGTGTTACCCACCTGAGCGAGGTGCAGACTGTGCCCTCTTTGTCAAAGAGCCAGGGTAGGTGGGAAAACACTTACTGGTAATTTTGCACAGAGTCACTCATAAGCAATTGCTTGGTCTTACATTCTCACCAGCAACTGTTTCCTTCCACACACACCTGAACCAACCTGCACTTATTAGGTGCCAATTTGATTCTGTTGCCCCGGGGGTGTTGACTGTCTTTACAGCTGATCCATCATTTACATTTAGTAAAGAGAATCAAGTCCTACATGCAGGTATGGTGAGATGAGGGTGTCTGACCAAGCTGTGGCCTCATGTATCCCACCTCCAGTTGTGTTTTGTTGTTTTTTCTCTTCCCAAGCATGCTATTACTGTCTGTGAGTCATTTCATTAATCTAGAGAGAAGGCTAGAAAACAAGTGAATAAACACCCTGCTTCACAGCCTTCTGTCTGCACTGTTTACTTCTCTGCTAATGAATGAACAGCTAAAAAAACAGAATTATCCTAATTGGGGATGTTCAAAGGGACATTATCTCCTCTTTGTCAGTAGCCCTGCCCGGGTCTGCCAGTAATTACAGTACATAGTGAGAAGATAAGCTGAAAATGTTTGCTCCCAATAACAGTGTAAAGATGAGAAAGTCCAGGAAAACAGTGGGAAGGGGGTACAGGCCCAACATCAGAAAGGACAGCACGGGAGTCCTTAACGCGACCACATCTTCCCTATTAAAACTGCTTAGAAAAGCAACATGAGAAACACCAGGCGCTTGTCCTGCCCTACACAGGAGCCCATCTCCCGCAGTGCGGGGCCGGGCTGCCCCTCACGCTGCGCTGGAACTCTGACTCCGAGTCGTGCAGCTCACTCCCTGCACAGGCAGGGCTCTTCATCTATCACACATAAAGGCAGGCGAGTGTCTGAAACGTCCTACTCTTCCTTTATAAATTTTACAGCTGTCAGAGGGATCCTATCTCTGGTGACAAGAATAAAGATAGAAGATGAAGGACTAAATGAGAAACAAATTACTGTGGCCTCAGTTTTGCCCTCCAGTGCAGGAACTATAGGAATTCAAGGTCTAACTTCTGCCATTCTGGAAGCCTGGCTTTTACTCTCCCCTGCAGTCCAACAGTCTGACACTACTGCAGAAACAGATACGGATGAACTGATGTTTGGCACAGCTCCTGCTTCATCCCTACTGCTCCCAGAGTCACATTCCCTGCCTCCCATGGAAGCACAGAAAGGTTGCGCCTTAGCACTATTATTTGAAACACCTTATGGTGTTTAATAAGCTCCTGTCAACTTTCAAGGGCAGAAATATGGCACTGTTTCTTCATAAAATAGTATTTAGTGCCTAGTGCCTACAGAAAGCATTTTAAATAACATCCAGGTTATTGTGAACAATTTCCAAGATGAAGCATGATGCCAAGATTGCACGTGAGCTTTACGCGCTCTTCCCTCTTTGTTACACACGCTGAGATTTTAAAATTTAGTATAACGCTTATATTTCTGCACCTCAGCCCAAATTTGAACACACTCTTCTCTGATCTCCTTTCAAAGAGAATCCATTAATTTCTATATCAAGGAGGGCTGACATTGAATTCCTGAGCTGAACATGCAGTCCAGCAGAAAACTCAATTCCACACTTGGGCATTCCTTTACGATTTCTCTTCCTGCTCCCATGGCATAATGGGAAGAAGTTTGTAACAATCTCCATCACAGAAGTGGTATATATACAGTTTTGGTCACATGTGACATTTTATCCCTTCCAGTTGTCACACAGCTGCCCAAAACATGCCCAAACACTTGCAGAAGCTGCTGTGTACATCCCTGTGTCCTTCTAGATGAGACCATATTATCCACACTGTCCAGGATGGACAGAATGATGGGACATCATTGGTCTCTGATGCTGCCAGAACACAATGGCCCACGCCTCCTGGGCTGCTCAGGACTTCGTAAGATGGCAAGTTTGACTCCAAGCCTGGCAGAACTGATAAACCTGTCCTTGAGTAGGACTAGGGCTGCTCCCAGAGAGAGGACACAACAGGATGTGATTCTCCAAACAGCTTCTCATAAAACTGAAGTTTCCCACAGAACTGAAGAATAAGCACTGAGCAAAACTGTCCTCTCATGCTGCAATTAGTTGCGTAGAATACACAGAATATTCTTGTGTGTCCAGTGGTAGATGGGAAAGAAGTGACAAAGATGTGCAACCATGCCACATTCATTAGCAGTGAGATCCTTACTTCCTCATGGTGGAAAAGAAACCAAAGGTGAACCCAACAATGAAATTTCTGACTGAATTTTTGGGAGCTCTGCACCACAGTATCTCACTACATTTGTAAACAAATATATTTGATTTCTGCTTCTAAATTGAAAGCACTTGGGCCATAATATTTGAAATACGTTCACATGCACTTAACATATCCCTTCAGAGATGTAAGCACACAAAATCAGCCTTGACACAGAAATCATCGACACATAAGCAGACGACAAGTAGGTCTTAAAAAAATATCACTATTTGAGACTAATAGAAATTAATATAAATTTCTTCTTTCACATATGCACTTGATGATTCTAATCAAGAAAGCTTGAAAACTTTAGTCTTTAGTTGCCTGGACAGGACTAACTAGAAGCTTTCACATTATTACTTCAACTTATTCAGTAATACCTACCTCCAAAATATCACCTTTATTTTTTATTTTTCATGGAAATAATTCTCCAATGTTGAGAATGAGATTTAGCCCAAGGAGAAGCAACACCATTTCAGGAATCCTACAAAGAAGAGTTCCGGGCTTTAAAAAATGCTTCTGCATTAACTCGCACAGTACAGACAACCACCAACACCTAGGAGTGGTAGAGAAAGGAAACAACTCTCTATTTAGACTGAAGTTACGGGAAGAAGGCTTGGTCTGTTGTGTGTGTGACTAGATATGCTATCAAAACAAGTAATATCAACAAACTATTATCTTATTATTACTGAGGTCCTGTCAGTCAGGCACAGAATTGCCACAATTTGAGATGAAGGAAGCCTCGAGTGACAGTGTGGGATGCCTTATGGCACCGAGTGGTGCGGTCTTGGAGTTAATGATTGCTAACCAGGTAATTGCTCCAGGATCCCCAAGGAAAAGCTCAGAAACTGGCTGCGTGTGAGAATGACAAGTTAATTGAGAAAACATCTGATAGCTCTATGTAGTGCCAGCCAAGGTTAGAGCTAGATGCAGAGAAGCTGTTACGAAAGAAGGAGGCAGCCCTGGCTGAGTCACGTTAAATCAGGAAATTCAATTCCTTCCTACTCCTCAGATTTTAAATATCTTATAGCAAAATGCTCTATAAGACTATTTTTTTTTAATGTTTAGAGAAGAACCTGAAATACTGCAGTCCAGTCTCTCTAAAGGAAGCACCCATTGCTTCATAGCAGTGTAAAATATATCCAACAAAATTAAGACTAATGAAATCAAGGGATTTAAAAGGAAGAGAACTAGTCCATCCCATTTTACTCTTTGTGGTGAAGTATTCCACACAAAGATGCAAAAGTCGAGAGGAAGAAATGAAAGTATTTAAGAGGCTACTTCTCAGCAAGCTAATAAACAACCAACTCCAAAACATTTAAGAACAGCAGTGCTGTGACCCAGCACTGGAAAGGTACTTAGCAGAGCTGATTGAAAAAAGTTTAAATACTGTGGGAAATGGGAACAGAATTTTCTATGAAACTGCAATGTTTATTCTGAATAAAGCTGAGGTTAAAGCACCCTGGGCAGCAGCTGAAAGGGCTGATGGCACTACTTACAGCCCACATTCATCTCAGCACCGAGATGGGGGAAACGCAGCAACCTCTGAAGAACTCAGCAAGAGGAACATGGCAGAGCTGCATGCCACACTCTCAAGGAGGGAACCTCTATAGCTCTGAAAGAAGACCAGCATCCTTTTGGGTTACCTCTCACCCACCCAAAAATATTAGAGAGTGTAGACACAGCCCCTTCTCAAACTGAAAGAAAAGGTACTTCCAGTTGAGCTAATTTCTTTGTTGAGGTCTTCTTTTATCCCCACAGAGAGGGACATTTTTCCTCCTATTATACACTGCTTGGGACTTTGCTCCTTGCCATTTTACACACAATGGAGATCCTTATCTCCTGCCAGGAAGTGCGATTCCTTGAAAAGCTTCCAATATTTAACAGTACTACAAAAAGTTTAGAAGAAAAGGGGTGGTAGAATTGTAACTGAGACAAAAAAAAAAAAAAAAAAAAAAAAATAAAAAGCACTGCATCATGGAATATGCGAGTCTTGAGCCAATTATTTAGGTTTTTTACTCAAGACCAAAGTCAAACATACAGTGATGAACTAAAAGATGGGAAGATAAAGTCTCTAAAAGCAAAAAGAGGAAAGCTTACCTCACTTTGACAAGAGTTCTGCAAGCAGAAAGGATGCTCATTCATGCAACTTTGGGAGAGCTGAACTTCATCTGCAAAGCATATTTCAAATCTGAAGCATTTTTCTTCAGTTATCAGTCACTCTAAAAAAAGAGCTGTTTGTTTGGTTCAGTAACAGGATTTGCCCCAAAGTCTCATTTATAAACATCAAGCTGAGTCTTGCTTTGGACTATCTCAGAAAAAGAAAAACTGAATCTTTATTGTATATCTACCTTTAGGGAAACATAATTGTTTCTGAAGTCAGAACTCTGGGTTGGAGCAGCTGCCAATATCCCAATCAGAATTTCCTTGATCATTACTCAAGCAGCAGCACTTTTATTTCAAAAACCTTGGTCTTCCTCCTCCACCAGAATTTCTGTTCTAACACATTATATTCTAATTTTAGTCTTTTGAGAAGTTTCTTTTCCAGTGATCTGGGTGGTTGATACCCACTCTTTCTCGCATTTAAATAATTTTCAGGTTTTTTTAAAGAGCTCAGCTTTAGCAGGTGTTTCAGTAGCTAAGCAATGAGTATCGCTTGAGAATATCTTCCATGTTTCCCAGACAGATTAGCCTGGAAGTTTCAAGAGAACAATCTTAGGCAAAACATCCATGTCATTCCATTGCAAAACCACAACAGAATTCCTAAGATGAAGAATGCAAAAATACACATCCCCCAAAAGAAGCACGCTCCCTATAAACAGAAGGTGTGATAAGAAGCAGTTGCAGCACTAGCAATACCAGTAATTATTTCAAATGCAGTAAAATTCAGAAGCTTTGAGGCTTAAAATCAAAGAAAATTACGAAAATTAGGAAAACCTTTTTTTGAATTATTCAGTTTCAGTGCAGTCCTGGGATCAAGAACAGTGAAGGGCTTGCAACCATGGACCAAATAAATATGTACCAGTGGATGCGGAGGAAAACAGCATGCTGCCAAAGCAGCAGAGACTTCACTACTAACTTGGGGTCTGCACTCACACAGCTAGAATACAGTTATTATCAGACTCAGAAGTTGAATTGAAGCATTCAAGATACCCGCTGGGTACCATCAGGAATAACCCTTCTTCAGACAAATGATAGTCTGGCCCTTTACGTCACTTCCAGCTATTTGAAAAGCGCATTTTTTTTCTTTTGACTCCAAGAAGCTAAAAATGCTGCAGCACACTTCAGCAATTGCTTCTCCGCAGTCTCCAGCAATATGGAGAAACCCACTGACAGCAACGCCTCCGTGCCTTTATGCAGTGAGAGCAGACCTATGAGATCTTGGCATCTGGCAATCTCACCAGGCAGGGAATTTTGAAATAACGTTAATGCCAGGGCTTGCTTACAGATTTATCAACACTGGTATTCATCTGCAGTCACGGGTTATCCTTGCTGAGCTTCCACATTTCCCCAGAGCGCAGAAACATCCTCCTCCTCCAGTGGAAAAGCAGGCTCTAATGACGAAGTTGCATCTACTCTGCCGTGTCCGTACAGAGGTAGCACCTGCAGCAAAAATATCAGTTGCAATATAATGCTACAGTAGACATTTCCCATCCTACTCAAAACTCCCCTTTCTACTCCATTTTTTACCCCATTAAATTCACCTAACCAGAGCAAAATAATTCCCATTGTAAAGCTGTATGTAATACTCAAAAGATGTTTCGTACCCACTGCAAAGATTTCAGGGAAATGTTTCTTCAGCAAACATTATTACCTAGGATTGCTCCAGCCTCAATTTTCAGGCATAAGAAGTGTTCAAGCATACACCTGAGGTCAACTCACTCGTCGGCCTGCAAGAACTTTCAAGAGAATTCTTTCCTTCGAGGTTCAGAGCATGCACACCCAAGCCCACCTCCTTGTGAGCTGAGGGTGAAGGAGCTGCGATTCAGGCTCCGTTCTCTGCTCAGTGCAGTGAACTTCCCAAGGCTGGCTTCATCCTCAGGCTGGGCATGCGAATACCTCAGAGCAGCCGGGCACGGATCGGCATCCCCCCCTACATCTCACACAGGTCTAAAGCCTTACCGCCTGCTTACGGCTACATGCAAGTATTTAAAGGCTTTCGTCCCATCCTCCTCACCAAATCTCCCTCGTTCTCAAAAGCGCCTTTGTCTAAACGCAGACCAAAGCCTGAATTGAAAAGAGGACGGGAAATTAGATCGAATCGAGTCTGCAGCACCCTCGTTACTCCTCACGTCAGAAGCGGTTACATAATTGGGCTCCAGACCGCAGGCACTGAAGTGTTAAGAGAGAAAAGCGATCCCAGGACCGCATCCTGGGCTCGAGCAAGTAGATAACACAAAAGCAGGCCAAGAGCTTACCACTAATGCTAGTTAATAACTGCACCGTGTCAAGCAAGGCCCGTCATACGGCACGTGCGGCCAAAAAGCGAGCAGTGCGAGAAGTGGAAGCGGAATGATCTCATCCGCGCTCCGTGCACAGCTGCTGGTGCGGGAAGGAAGGCGCAGGAAGGAGCGCGGCGCGGAGAGCGCGGGAGGCGGCGGCAGCCCAGGGCTATGGAAAGGAATGGGGGCGGGGAAGCGGGCACGGCCCTTCTCCAGCTTCTGCCGTGCAGGAAATAAATAGACCTTTTAATCTGCTTTCCTGGAGGCCTTCTCCATTGACCATTTCTTTCTGCTCCCCCTGCCCAGCTTTTTACTTCCTCGACACGGCTAATGAATGCACAAATGCACGATGGGTTTGATAACAGCCCGCCCCTTCTAAAAGCGGGCCACGAATTGAGGCCCCACGCTGGAGGCTCTAAAGACCATCGTGCCTTATGACCGCGGGTAGAGAGCCGGCCACCGCCTCGAGCACGCCAGGGCCCTTTAAAACGTGCGTGAACGCAGCTAGACGGCTTTAGGAATGGAGCAGATGGGACGGCGAGCCAGAAACATCGGCGGCACACACGGGCGGGCGTGACGGCGGAGCTGGGAGGGGAGCCCGCAGCGCCTGGCAGAGAGGAGTTGGTGGGAGGGTAGGCAGCTGGGGGCAGCAGGGGGCGCTGCGGAGCAGGAGGCCGCAGCTGCGTGAGGGCGGGTTGGTTCCACGCCGATCTCGCAGGGGGACACGAACTGCGACACGAACAAAAGCAGGGATAACAAGACAGTGTTGGAACGTGGTTTATTAAAATCCATTTATAAAACCCTAGCTCGACACAGAAGGACGGAGGTCTCGTCCAATGCTGATAGATGGGAGCGGGGCTCTCCAGGAGGGTCGGAAGCCTGCAGGTCTCTGCCGGGCGCAACAAAGCCGTACTGCAGTCAGATCTGAACCTCAGCCCCCCAGCCCTGCTTTCCTTCTCTTTTAACCTCCTTCTCAGGCTGTTAACACAACAGCTCTGTGTGTGCCAACCACAAAGCAGCTTTTGCCCGCACCACTGGAAGTGTATAATTTTCATTCTAGACTCTGATAATATTTTACAAACATTTGCTTTACCTCAACTAAAAAAAACCTACATCATATAGCAAGAGAAAATATTTTGATCATGAAGTAAAACAAATTACCAAGGCTAGGATACGACAGAACAAGAATTAGAATAGTAAAAAAAGAAAAGAGTGCATATCCTTAAAGGTGGCTTCCCACAGGTGACAGAAATCTTTGGATCCAGAAACACTGCCAAAACATCAGAAATAAAGCAGCAACCTCTCCCTCTTTGCTCCCAATAGCAAGTAATCCCAGCACATCAGAACTGGAAGGATAGCACATGTCAGGCAGGGGATCTGCAGGGCACTGCAGAAGGGATGCTGGCAGATACTGGAGGCCACTCGCAGAAGGTGCCATTTCCTCCTGAATTCCACTGTTCTCTTCCAGACCAAAATCCCATACACAGTTGTGTGTCCAGCTGCACCCTGGACACTGCAGATCCATAAGGAGCCATAAGATGCTCAGCAGTACACTTGTGACTAATTCAATACTGATTAAAACTCTTGATGTGAAGTACTGTTTAAATTAAAAACATCACAAGAGACGAATCTGACAGTGGTATAGATGCAACAAAATGGTTACATTTATAAAGCGAGTGCGTAATTAGAGGAGAAACCACAACAAACCCAATTCATTACGTAAGACTACATGAAGACTCCGTGAAAATGGAAATGTATGGATGCTTTTTTCTTCCTACAACAGGAATAAGTGCTCACTGCTCAGATGATATTCTGGAGCGATAGGAGATACATTTGGAAACACTGACTATTCTTATCTATTCAGGCACAAAATGCTGTCCACATACATCCAAAGTAGAACTGCACCTGTACTACTCGTACAAAAAGCATTGGCGTTTTTCTCCTTTTTCAGTACTACTGAAACTTTTTTGAACTCCTACAACACTTGGCAGAACACTTGGCATTTTTTCTATTCCCCAGTTTTAAAAGGGCAGCAGAAGTTACTCTCATAGATGGCTATGAAAGCCTCAGCACACTAGCATGCTGAGACTGTCTCCTGTTCACTCACCCAACACAGTTAAAGCCAAAACAGAACCTCGTAATATTTCTGGTATTGTTATACTTTCCCTAGCAATACGCAAACAGAATCTTATCATATAAAGTAGCCTTTATAAGCAAAGCCCTGATTCAAGATAAAAAAAAATGTTCTCTTCCTCCTGCTCCCTCTTTGCAGGACAGATTCTTTGCAGTCTCTGTGACTGCACTCAGTCACCTCAGCTGATCGTACTCGTTCATTTTAGATTGCTCTTTTTAACACATTTACCCTCCACCCACAGGTCCCTGGCTTCTCTCTTCATTGGTTATTGCACCCTGGGGCTGCAGAAGAGGCGCCGGACTGCTTCTGCTTCTTGCGGCGTTTGTTCAGGAGGCGGTTGTTGGATGTTTTCAAGTCTTTAATTTTCACCTGATCGTAGTCCACCCTCATGGTAGCCAAAGCACTGGTCATCTCCTCCTGGAAACAAAAAAATTAAATCTCTTGAACATGCTGAGTCAGAGAGCACAGCCTCCATATGCCATTGCTAGGTAATGAATGTACAGAACGAACTCTGTTGTGCCACAGCCAGGAACAACCAAACCCTTTCTGCTGCTTTGGGCTATGACTGAAGGCTTCGTTCTACTCATGGACTCATTCAGGAGGAAATATTCAGTGTTTCACATGTGGGTACACAGGACTACGCTCTGCTGGCCTGATTTCCACCACATCACCATGCCCAGCATAACTTACTGCCTGGCTCCAGGCCTTCAGCAGCTGCTAAATCCAGGCTTCTTATAACAGTCAGTGCGCTGCTCTCCTTGCTCCGTTACTAAAGGAACCAGAATAAAGAGTCCACACCAGAATAAAGAGTCCACACAAAGTTACTTAAAAGTATGCACTTCAAATTCATGTGCCTTAGCTTGAAATAGCATTTAAGTGCTGGCAAATCTTAAACTTTTTAATAAAACAGATTTTTGCTCACAGCCTGTCAGTGAATGCCTATGCATTTAGTTCAGAAAAGGAAAAAAGATTAAATATTATAGGAATGCTAGTGACCTCTGGGACCTGTACAGAGCACAAACATAAGTTCTCAAGGAAGCGAAGAAGCTTAAGAGAAAATATCTGCTGGATCCCTCTGACTAGGGAGGTGCGTGTTGCCTAGATTCTATGAAATTTTGTCATCATGTGGCTGAACAGATGAGACTACACACTGGTAATTTAAATAAAACCAGCAATCAGTAGAATACCTTAAAGGAACGATGCAATTAGCAAAATGCCAAGTATTATAAGTGCAGAAAGTTAATTGTAAAAGTATGCCACCTGATAAAGGTAAGCAGGAAAGAGTTAAGGCTTGCAAACAACTTTTAGGCTGCCCTATTGTTGCACTCTGCAGGAAGCATTCAACTGCCATCAGTACAAATAGTAGGTGATACACCTGGTTAGATTAAGGGAAAGACAGATATGTTTTTTCTTTTTTTCCTCCTCGGTACTAAAACTGCCACAACAAGACAAGGCTGAGGTTATTTAATGTTGTTTTACAACACAAGAACAGAGTAGAAAAATAGAACGCAGCCCAACCCCGCCTCCCATCCTGTCCCCCTCCATTTTCATCATATCCTTCACTTCACCATAACGAACTGTCCCTTCTCCTCTGTGCTGCATGCAGCGGCTCAGCGGGTAGCATCATTAAAACCTTTGATCATAAGCATTTTCTTTGTTGATATTTTGCACAGCTGTAAGGCTGTCAGGCGAAGCTCAGACACCATTCTTCTTTTCTAAACAGTTATCATATACACTACTGTTCTAACTAGGACTGTTCTTAAGCTTCCGTTGCTTAGCATGGTTGTATCAAAATTACCATAACCACCAAGGAAATAAGCATCCACAGCAAAAAGAGCCCATCCAGTCTCTTATCTGAATGGCCTCAGGAAATATCTGACTCACTTTAACTTCATCCCAGTGGTCCTTGTCCTCTTGCAGGACCCGTGCGGTATGGAGGGGCGTTGGTGGCACTGCCATCGATCTCTGAGAAAAGCAAAAAGCACCAGAAAATGAGTTCTGCAAACGCAGTTTTGGAAGTGACTGCTCTTCTATGTGTATCGAGGATATAAAACTTGATCTAACATCCTTCAGTGCCCCCATTATTCATGCTTTCCATCACTCCACAAACCAGTAGATAAAAACTAGCCTGTGTGAGGTGGTCTCCATGTGGCAGTATCACTGCAGAACATGGGGAGACAGAAATCAACGCTGAGTTTCTTTCACTCTGCTCTCTTCCAGCTCAGCCAATAAACCCGGGTTGGATAATTTTTTATGCACATTTCCCATTTTTAACAACTTAATTTCACTGTTCATTAATTGTTCTAAAGTGCTTAACTTGACCTTTATCTTCTAGGATTTGTAGTAGGAGATTTTTTTGTCTTGCAGATACCTTCACAGAGATTACCAGTTCATCAGATCATAAATGTGCCCAAAAGAAGAAGCTGTACTATCTTTCAGAGTAAGTACTGATTCATTATTCTGGCACAGTAGAGAAGAAAATGAGTGCATTGCTTGCGATGCTCTTCCACACAAAATTGAGATCTATGTTCACCTGACATGGCAGATCGGTAGATATTTTAAATTAGAATAAGGTACAATTTCTAAAGCACAGTTTCCTGGTTAAATTCAGCAAGAAGTATTCCTTGCCAGACATAAACCAAACCCTAATTTCATTCTGACTGTCTATCTTCCACATGTTTTCCCACGCAAACTTCCTGTCTACTGCTGTGGCATCCTGTGTGTCAGCAAAGGCTGAGGAGATCACTATATTTATCACTGCAAAATGAGCCTCACACTGGAAGCAGTGCTTGTACTCCACCAGCACACAGCTTCAATGTATCGAGTTCTGCCGCACCTACAGAAGGGGAAGCAGAACTCCAGACTCCCATGTCCTCTGGAAAAGAACTCCAGCTGGCAATGGCATGGGTTTATCAAGCACGGGTGGGATGGAGAAGAAGCAGATCAGCCTTTGTGGTGTTCCTGAACAGGTGCTGAACGCACCCTCCTACCTGCTGTCAGCAAGCTAGAAGATTATATGCTCCATCTGAGCTGGTTTTTTTTCATAAGCCACAGTAACATCCACAATAAAGGCCACGTATTTTTAACAGGTTGCAATAATAACAAAAATGTGAAGAGGGGAAACAGACTATACTGCTGATTGTGAGGCATCTCCATATAGACTTAGTAACAGAAAAGGAAGAATACAGACATCAGTTCTGTTGGTCTTTCCCTTCCTCTGCTGCATGGGAAAAACAGGTTCAGTGGAAAAAATGAGAATCTGCTGCTCCTGGAGCGTGCTTCCAGGAATGGTAGTCGAGCACAGCTCGTTGGTGCTGCAGCCTATAGACTTTGTCTCTAATCTCCTCCTCATTAACTGGTTATAGGAACATTTGAAGTAACACGTGTTGCTGTAGGTGGCAGCTTCCTTAGCTATTAGGCTCTCATTCTGTGAAGTTTATCGCCTGCCGACTTCTGGAACACCTCCTTTTCTTCAGCCTTCAAACACTTAAGCTGGAGGTATTTATTCTCAGTGATTACACTTTTATTTGGCTAAAAACAAACAAACAAGCAAACATGTAAGACTGCCTAGATTCTGTTACAGTTTTACAGTCTCTCTGTAACCTCAATTTCTCAGCTCCCACAACTCTAAATGAAGACATCTAACTGCTCCATCAGAGTGTTATGTGGCTACATTACCATAAGATTCTAAGTGCTTTGAGATATTCAAACATTACAGAAATGCTGACTGTAACTTGTGATTTTTTTCTGTCCCTCCCTCCTGAGAAACAGGAAAGACAGAGAAAGGACTACAGGAGGAAAAAGCATTTACAGTTCAAGCTGTTCCTGGCTGATGACTTTTTGGGCAGTAAGAAATTTGTCCTTTTAGGCACAAATACGAGAACTACAGGCTATTATTTTTATCATCTTGAGTGATACCTATGGAGCAGACATGATACTCTGAAACTCAGTCTGATTAACAGATGGCATTCTTGTCTCTTGTTTGAAATACTACTGCATTAATAAAATGAACTTCTACCCATCTCCCACCATGCAGGAAAAAAAAGAAAATCAGATAAAAAAAGAAAAATAAACTCCACCAGGTTACAGATTGAAACCTGAACTGAGACCATTAATAGCTCCGTGTAGCACCTTATCTGGCCATCTCTTACAGGGCACTGAGCCGAAAACCCTGCTCCTCCCCCAGGCATTTTCCAGGATCTGCCAAGGATGAGAATTCCCGCTAAGCATAAGACTCTGCTCACACTAACACAGCTATGCACAATGGTGCCTAAGACCACTAATAATAGCTCTCTCTAAATCCTGCACTGATGAGGTAAGTACAGTTTATTTTTATATTTTTTAGAGGGAGTAACGCGCGTATGTACTGCAGCCAACAGTGACTGCCTGCTCACAGAAGACGTAGATGCATTTTGCTTCTGCTTCCAAGGATGCTACTGTGGGTGTCTCTGTGTGTCCTCTGGTAACACGAAGAAGAATTGTGGTTCTACAGGCAGGTGCCCTTCTGTGAAGGGTATAGTAGGTTAATTAAGTTATGAGCAATAATCGTCCTTCTCTTGCTGTGCTACGTGGAGCTATACCATAAGCTCTGCATGCAAGAATTCATCTTGCTCTCTTGTAAAAAGCTACAAGAAACTCACGTTAATCCAAGGGTGATTCATAAATTGGGAAATTGTCATCCTCTCTGTTGGGTCTGTCTTCAGTAAGTGGCGAATCAGTTGTTTGGCTGAAAAACAGGACCAACATAGCGTGTTGTAGTCTACTACTGTGGTCCCAAAAAAAGCTCGAGAAGACCTGCTGAATGAAGAAAGGTAATTTTCCAGAACTCAAAACAGTGTTTCCAAGTTAAGAAGCCATATACAGTGTGGGAGGTTATTATGCCTGAAGAGGCAGAACATGGAAATATCTCAAACCGAAAAGGTAAGAAGGAAGGACAAAGGACTGGAGATTCCATGCATGCTATCTACTTCACAAGACCAACAGTCATGAGATCAAGAACTTAAGAAAAAGAGAAATAGAGGAGCATAAAGCTGCTGGTTTAAAATATGGCAACAAGCCTAGCATTATGGGCTGAACGAATGCATAAGCTGACGTTTTGAGAAGTGACAGAAGACAAAAACTAGTTGTGAAAACAAAGACAGTGAACTGCTCTGACAACTGTGAGGCCACTAAAAAAAACAACAAAGTCAAAGAAATGGGTTACATAAACTGGCTTTACATCAGCTTTCTGTGAACGTGGCACTGGCCAAAGCAAGAGGTACTAACTCTGTAACTGAGATATGAGATGACAAGAGTTTGAACAAGAGATTCAGTAATGTGGACGGACCGCACCCAAGGGACATTATTCAGAAAGAATCATAACTTCCTTGGGAGAACCTAGAAAAACTTCTGAATATGTTCTTTCATCAGCATTAAACGAAAGATGACTATGCTTTGAAAGGCCTGTGACAGATAGAAGTTTGAGACTTTAATGACAGAGGCCACAAAGATGATATACATTTAGAGAGTACCTGGAGGCTAAAATCTAAAAAGTTTTAAAAAGGAGGAAACCATGAGCAGAACCCACTGATTATAGGAAGCTGGGGGGAAATTCAGAAGTAGCCTCCAAAGACAACGTACTGCAGGAATGGTCTAAAACGAAATGATGACAGGACCATACAGAGGAGGGCAAAAAGAAGCAGGCTAAAAGAATGCCTATAGGCTAGCCAAACATTAATATGTTCAAAGACAGAGGACATCTATCTTCACTGAAGCAAGCATATGGAAACTACATATTTTCCAAGCAAATGTTTTCTGAACAAGCTTTGCTAGCATTACAGTAACTACTGTAATACAAACAAAATCCAATACTGACAAAATGGTAAGCCAGAAACCCAAACATTAAACATCTTCTCTACCAAGATGCAGTAGTTGATACTGCACACTCAGTCACGAGTTGTTACAACAATGCCACAATCACAGTATTCTTCAGGATATACTATTAGTGCTTTAGCAGCAAGTGTGACAAGATGTTAACAGCAGTAGAATAATGGGCTTGTTAGAAAGAAGATGTGCTCAGAAATTGTTGACCCTTCTCTCTAAAATGGGCAGTTGAGACCTCCAGGTTATGACACTGTCAGAATAACAGAATCAAAACCATCCACTTTCAGGACCGGTTTGAACCCATTCAGGTCACAGCTGAGCAGCAGCAGGTTTTGGTCAATAACTTATACAAAATAAATTGTTGACCTTGATTTAAGTGGAGGCTGGCAAGCTGCCACGTCACAAAGAGCTAGCATAAAAAGTTGCCGACCTTGCTGGCTGTATCACCAAAGAGGGCAAAGACTGAATGAGTTCTGAACAGAGTTTGCCTTTCTTCCAACTTAGCTTGTGTTACAGCTACCCTGACAATCCCCTTTCTCAGGATTATATATTTTTGTTTCCTGAGGGTTTAACTCAAGCTTTCACTAGCACTAGCTGGATTTGAAAACAAGCTTTCAGTCATCATTTACTTTTTGTAGTGCTTTGTTGCTGGCTAGTGTCTGAATTCCAAGTCCTCTTACAATACCTTACAATAAAAATACTAATATTAAAAAAAATTTGAAATAAAACTTAAAATCAGGTTTTTAGAAAAAGTGCTGTGTGAACACTTCTCCACTGCACAACACTGCACACATCAGAGGCACTGAGCATTCTTACCTTCTTCTGACACTTCAGCCCATTCTGGATTGGGAAACCCATACTGCCCCATTCGAATTCTTCTCTTCATCCCTGGAGAAATAGCTTGTCCAGTGTTTGAGTAGAACGGAGGGAACCCACACAGGCTGTAAGAATGGACAAAAGAAGCCTTATAGACTAGAAAGCTCTTAAACTCCAATGCAAGCTTATGCTCTTCTGAAGGTAGTGTGATCCTAGTGACTGACTACTTGTAAATGCAGATTTAATAACATCCGTTATTTCTGTTAATCTAGACTCTTCAAGTACTTACAGAATGTATGTGATGACACCCAGAGACCACATGTCACATGATTTGTCATACTTTTCAGGACCAAGGACTTCTGGGGCTGGAGAATTGAGAAAAAAGCATAAACTAACAGAATACCACGTAATTCTTCATGTTTCCACCACTTATAAGTAGCAGCATAATTCAACAATAAATATAGGAGGCATTAAAAAAAAAAGTAAAATCGAACCAAAAACCCCCATACGCCACACGCTGCAGTAACAGTGTGGTATTTTCTATTGACAAGTTCCCAAGCACATCTCTGTAGCTTTAAAGAGGAGGAACAGAACTGGCAAAATGCCCTGTACTCTTCACCTTACTGTCTCTCTGCTCAGGAGAGTACTAAGATTACAAAAAAGCAAGAAGGAGGTACAGCTAGATGTGTACAGGGAGACACAGCACTGAAAGAGGCCTGAGCGTATGTTCCAGCAGTCAGAACAGAAAGGACCTGCTTAGCTGTGATACGATTTTGAACAGTACCTATGTGGAATGTCTGGCTTTTTCAACTACAGAGCACTGCATCTTTCCCTAAGCAACAAAACTTTACAGAAATGCATTCAGGGGGACATTTTCCTCCCCACACCTCCTGGGCAGGTGAACTGATAGGGGCCTTGGGTTTGTAAGAAATGACTCTCTAAACATATGAGCAATCCTACTGGTTTATTTAAAAAAAAAAAAAAAAAAAAAAAGGTGTTGAGAAGGAAAATGTCAGCCTGTTTATATACAAATATAAAGGCAGAAAAACATGGATGTGAAAATTCTTTAACATTTTATCACCTATCCCAGTTAAAGAAAACAAAGAAGAAAGTACCAGGAAGAAAACTACTGCTATGGTAGGTTTCTACTAACAAATGAGTACCAACATCTTCCATTACAAAAAAAAAGAGGTCATGTCCACATAGAAAAAGGGAACTAACTCTTCCAAAAAATTAAGCCCTTTCTCCTCCAAAAAAATTCCAAGCACAGACTGCCTCAGTCGTACCATATGGTGAATGACTATTAACTCAGCGACCAAAAAGGACATACTCTGAAATGAGTGCACAGAGCACAGCCTGACGTGGCATTCATTACGCAGTGCTTTGGACAAAACGCAGGCAAAAATTCAGCTGTGACTAAGTCACTTCGATCTTTTATTATTAATTCCTCCATTTGCCATCTTTAAGAAGCCTTACAACTGATGGAGTACTCTCCCTGATTTCTTATTGCATTAGTTAAGCTATGGGAAGCTTTGCAAGGAAACACCCAAATAATTATGAAGCCAAGTTCAAATTATGGCTATTATTGCATCATCCAGAGGAAACATAAGATTTACTTCAGTGTAACCAGATGTAAAATGTTCTCTCTCCTTGATCCTCATTCGCACCCCTTGTTAAGGCTGTTTCCTACTAAGGAAGAAAAGGAAGAGGGCTGGACTGGACCCAGACTAGGTTTTGGGATGGGCTGGATACTATTTTAATTCTGCGGGCTCCCTTTTTGCACTACATCCACAGGAGATCTGCCACCCGTTCCTACAGCCCACAGACCCACTGTAACAGGAGGAATGAGAAACACAGAATAAATGCATTTTGGATGACTCACCCACATAATAAGGAGTGTAACAGGGGGTCTGCAGTGCATTTTGTACAGTGGTTTCTTTGGCAAAGCCGAAGTCTGTGAGTTTAAGTACAGTATCCTTTTCTTTTGATGTGTAAAGCAAGTTTTCAGGCTGAAAGACCACCAGGAGAAAGATAAGCGGGGTAATGAAGAGAGGCCTCCAACAACAAGCTGTGCAGTCAAAACACTCCTGCTTGCCTTGATCAACACCAATATTTGGATCCCCTCTTTACCTCACACCCCACCATATCGCACAGGAAGCTTCCTCCCAACACACCAGCACCTTTGCTCAGAGCAAGGATCAGCGTCCCTCGCAACACGGCGTTAGTTCGCTGAGCGTGTTCAGGGAGCATTTGAGGCTATGCACTTCAGTTTCTGTGCTGGTGACAGGCAGTGGCACACAGCTCCACAGTATGTATATGTACACATGTCTGAACTGGTAAGCCATTCTCCAGTTCCTACCTATGGAGCATCTCCACCACATACGTGTAACCCTCAGCGACGCCAAACAACGTCAGTTCTCCTGCCAACTAAACGCACAGAAGCATCCACAGAAACTTCATAAACCCTTTATTACAAGGAAAGTACAGTTCAGAAAACAAATAATAACCGATAAAGACTGCAGATGATGATACAGCACCTAGTCTAAATTTACTTCAGGCAGTGTTATTTTCTTGTTAATTAACTGAGTTCCAAGTTGCTGGTACCTCTTCAGCTAACCATCAGACTGCATCCCCTTGCATCCTCTACACAACTGGAGAGCTGTGATTGAGTCACTTAGCACACATGAACATTTTGACCTTGGACTAGAAGTGATCTACTTGTGAACAAATCCCCTCTCACACTGGCAGAGGAACAGGAACACTTAGATAATCTATTTGTACTCCCAGTTCTATTTAAACCACCACCACCCATTTATTTTTCCACCCTACATTCTTTTCTCCCGACCACACACCTCCCAGACCTCACCTTGACGTCCCTATGGGCAATGTTCATTGAATGCAGATACTGGATGGCTGTGCCAATGTCTCTCATTATTTCAGAGGCCTCTAGAAATACAATTTTAGGGAAAGGTCACATTAACATTCCCACTGTAACTCAGGGACATGCTTGGGAATGCTTATGACTTACGAACAGCTTGCTGGAATACATGGCTAGCATTGAGAGTAGAGTATCTAAAATTAGCCCTAGCAGCTGTGTTTTGGTTTTGCAGGCAACCATACCCCAATCCCCTGGCTGCTCAGCCCTCCTCCCAAGCAGGCACAGCAACCAAACAGTTGAGAATTCTGCTTTTCATGAGCTTGGAAATTTGTGCTTTAATTTTCTCACTGGAAAAGCAGAGAAGGTACACAAGCAACTCCCAGCCAGGACGCAGCTCTGGTAGTTCAGGACATGACCTTGGTTATCCTAGACAGAAGTTTAACTTTCAGTTTCTAGTTCAGGGGTAATGGGAGGATCTAATAGATTTTCTAAAAATAGAGCAACATAACAATATAATAATTAGAGGACAGGTCACATCTTTTTCACTGTCTTTAGAAGTTTTCCTTGGAAGAAATGAAGTCAGCAGTTCTACTCTGCAGAGCCCAAACCTCCTACTACCAAACAAGATGTTTAGAAAATTTAACATATATCCCAGTGGTAAATTTTCTGGCTGGTGAGCTGCCTTGCAAGAGCAGTACTCAAGATCTGGATGAGTTCAGTTACACACGGAGAGTTTCGGAGCAGGAAGGTGTGACATTCCCCTTACAGCAAATGAGCATTATATTACATCTTCATTAACAGGGAAACAGAAATAGCCACTTCAATTTGCTGCTCTTTTCTGCACAGGTAGGAACCTCAGCTGCAACCGTGAGAGGGAAAAGAGAAATTATTGTACTGTAACCTGGAAGCCTTTTTCACATCACTTTTGATTGATATTATGCAATCTCAGGCAATAATAACCAGAAAAGCTAAAAAAGACCCATCTCCTCAAGGGAAAGCTGTGCAAAACTTCTCCCTTCCTGGCACAGGCTGAGAAGTCTGGCTTTAACGGCAAGTTGCTGCTGATGAATAAATGACCAGTGAACCTGGGGAATCCAGTGCTACAGGGCTTATTCATATCAGGAATGAATGAAAGGCTATTTTTATCTCAACACACAAATGGTTTCTGAGGAAATACATAGGATACTATATAATACTATCTAAAGTAGAAAAATCCTGTCTATAGCGCTAAGGACCATTAGAACAGTTTCCTCCCTGGAATCTTGCATTTTAGAGAGGAACAAAGTGTCTGAAAATGCTCATTCTCCAACACAACGCTCATATCAGTTCAAGGACTCATCCCTGGCCAGGAAACATGGGAACACAGGATCAAGAATAGCCCAGCCTCTATAGCAGCCTTCCTAAACACAAGCTCAGGTATAATTTACAAACTCAGGTATAAACTGTTCCTCTTCAAATCATTTTGTCAGGACATCAGTTATAAACACTAATATTTTCACTCCTGGTTAGAAATAACCTTGTTTGTTGTGAATGGGCAAGAAGAACCACATTCAAGCACACCTGTAGTACTCAGTAAATAACGATCAACACTGACAGTAAAAATGGCAGAAATATTTTACTGCAAGCTCTGTCACTGGCTCCTAGCAGGTCTTTACACATGCACACAGTCCCTATTATAGATGAGGAGGCTCGTTTGCAGCATGGCTAATAACACTTCCTTTCAAGTAGTACTTTAAAACCCTTGAATAAGAGATGTTTCATAAAATGTGATTTGCTCATTACATTCCCCACCTCACAGCATAGTTGTTTAAGGGACAGCCAGAATAAAAATCACAGCAGGACCTGAGCTGATGTTGGGAAGTGGTCTGGCAGGAGACCAGAGACAAGAGTAATAGAGGCTGCAGTGGCTCATAATTGAAAAAGCTGAGCAAATATGTATAAGGAATTTTCCTCTAACCTTCCGCGTTGTGCCTGAACTTGGCACAGTCCGGTAACTTTTGATTCAAAAGAAACTTTGGAGGTAACTCTTTACTACAGAATTGAAAATAAATAACATGGAAACCTACCAAAAAAAAGAAAAAAAAAAAAAAGAAAAAAAAAAAGAAAATAAACAAAAGAAAAATCTTGTAAGAGACCTAAGTAGGGGGAAAAAGCAAAGAAGCAATTTGTCACAATCATGAAACTTGTGATTTTTCACCTCTCTCGGTGAAAGCTTGGTCTCCTCTCTCCTGGATCCTGCTAAACAGCTCTCCTCCCTCCATGCTGAAACAAAGAACACACAGAAACAACAACAAAAACACCTTATGTGAGTGGGAAAGACCAAATTAACACCTGACTGCGCATCTGTGAACCATGGCAGGAACAGATTAGAAGAGATTACAGACCACCTCCCATGCCAATGCCTCTTAAACAGCACGCTCCTTCAAACCAACGCACAGAGCCACTGTGATATGGAATAAATAGAAAGCAAAGCAAAACCAAGGAGTTTTGATGCTTTCTGCTTAATGCACACTGACATAAGGAACACGATACTCGCAGTTGGGAAGTCAGATATGTTGGCAAAAGGAGGCTGTTTTGTGTAAGGATAGGAGATGAAGAAAATAGGAATCAAAGGTAGTGAAAAATGTTATGATTTGTCTCTAGTGAAGACACCACTGTGGTATTACTGATCACAGAGAGAATAGGAAAAGTTATAGTGGAAACAGAATAAAAACGATCCTGTCAGATCAGAGGACTTGTAGTTGGAAGTCCAGTCGAAGTATATCGTATTTGTACAGACATATCTTTCAAGATCATATTGACTGGCCAGCTTTCGTGAGGATAATTGTCAGAGTACAAGAAAAATTTGTGTCATGCTTAAGGTTCCTCATTCTCCCACTGCACAAGTTGGCTGAAGCAGCTGTACATTTACCTACAAGTTCTATAGAGATAACAACAGGCTTGCTGCCCAAACAAAACTTGTGCTAATGAGAAAGCCCTCTTAATTCTTTTCTAAGCCTGCATTTTCTCTCTCTGCTCCCCTCACCCCTCAAAGAGCAGTGCTGCTGGTCCATACCATTCCATGACAATGAGGAGGCATCTCTTTCCGTGATGTATGTTCTCATAAACATCCAGGATGTGGACAATGTGGGGACAACCCGATGCCCGCCAGTGATATTCTACTTCCAGACGAGCTTTTGGGTTGTCATACAGGAGCTGAAAGAAACAGAAGAAAGCAATGACACCAGCTTGTATTATTTGGCTTTAATGTGGTACGTAAATGCAGCCCATTTTTGAGTTTAAGGATGGTTCCAAGGACCATCTGGGGCACTTTTCTCCAGCCAAAAAATGTCAGTCCATCACAGGACTTCCACCACCTCTGAACTGTCCCACTTTCTAGACTGAAGAATACAGAAGCCACAACTGGTCTTTCAGAGCTGAGGAGTCTGGAGTGGCAGCAAGGAGAGATTTTGAAGGAGGTGGATACAGAGCCATCTCATCCAATTCCAGATGAGAAAATGCAGGTTTCATCCTACTTTTTTTGCAGTACTCACACTGCAGCCAAACAGAATATGTTGTGTAAAGGGAACTCCTGTAAGGAAACAAGACCTTGTACGGCCAGGTGGGCTGGAGCCCCCCACTTTCTGGATGGAGCAGAGACTCATTCTGCAAGTAATTGTAAAAGAGGAAGGAAAATTCAGGAAGGAGGCACAGCTTCCCTCCCACACCTTCATTTTATGTCTATTTTATAGATTTTTTTTTCAATACAGCTAAGTATTCCACAGAAATCCCACCTTCCTCTTGGAGGAAAAAACTGTTGGAAGAAGGTGTAGCCTCAGGACACAACCACTCAGATCAAGAAAAAAATGCCCTAAGCTAGGGAAAGTAATTCTGCCTTCAGCTTAGGATTAACTCTGTTCCAAAGCAAAACGGATTTTATGATCACTTCTCTTCTGCCCAGTTTTGCCCTCCACCACCTCCCAGTTTTTGCTTTAGGGATGGCTCTCAGGACATCTGCTTTCAATGGAAGGAAAATTAAGTATACACCTAAGGGTTAAAGCCATAGCAGACAACAGCACCAAGAGGCTGCATAAGATTTCCTTCCAAATAAAAGCATCTGTTAGTCTGGATCCTCTCATTCTGTTCCCCTGCTAAGGACAATGAACCTCCAACCTGCCCCCAGATGCTGAGAGAAAAGTCTTCCAGGTGCAGTGCAAACCCTTACAGTTCAGAGATTGAAAGCAGTAAGATTTTTCATACTGACTCTGAGCAGGTTTCTTAAACTTGATAGAAACATCTCACAGCATCAGGGTCAGAACGGCCCTTCAAATACCTGAATGCCTGCACTTCTCCCCCTGTCACATGCAAGGCTGGTTTATTTTAAAGGCGTTAATCTCTGGAAGGGAGCTCTAAGAGCTCATCTTTCCCATCCTGGAACCTTGCACATGAGAAACAAGTCCCATCCCTACACCATACGGCTGCGATTTTGGTTTGGTACTTCATACCCTGTGGAAATAATCATTGTAATGATAGAACAGCAACACAACGGGTGTATATAAAGCATCCTCCAGTGCACTGAAAGGGTAAAAAAATACCTCTGATCTAGTTACCTTAGAAAAGGATTAAACAACTGCGCAGGGCCTCTTTTCAAACACAGAAACAAAAACTACTGCACTATTTGGTATTAGCCTGGAGCTCTTCTTGTGTTTGCCATCAGGTCCCATCCAAAACACAACTGCATGATACCTGCTGAAAATATGTGACCTGCCATTAGGGACCTAAGAATCAGCTCGGGAAAATGAGATCGCTTCTCCATCCAATTGCTGAGCTTCCCAAGGCTCAAACAGTGTCTCAGACACCTCTTGGAATGCAGAAGCATGAATTAAAGGTCACGGGAAGGAAGTCACAAATTCTAGTTTCTGTACTGACTCCAACGCAGGCAATTTGCATCACTTGGATAAAGAGCTTATTCCCCTCTGCTGCTCCAAAATCCCTATGGCAGAACAGACACAGCAACACAGCACGGACAGCTGTGTCACCACACAAATTGCTGGTGGACCCCTGGGCAGAATGCAAAGGGATTCTCTTCTCCTCCAGGCTGGGAGTAGGGAGAGACTGCTGTGCTTCTGTGATGGAGGAGGGTTTGACCCGCCTGAGCAGACACTCTCTACCATGGACAGCCCCGGGGGCTGCTCAGCTCTGCCCGATGGGTTCCACTGCCTCAGCATACTGCCAGCTTCTCTGTGGTGCAAACAGCTGAATAAGCTTTCTCACTGGGTGCAATGCCCTTGCAGCCAACCCACTTCTTCCACAGCTGTCACTCTGCACCCAGAGCACACTCGTTTGAGATCACTCGCTATCCGCCTCTTCCTTCCTGCTCCAGCCCAGCGATGGCCTGATTTCCAACACAAATAACTTCCTAAAAAAAGAGATGGCTCCAATTTGGACAAAAAGTCCATTACCAAGCCTGAACTCGCCTGCTATACTTTTCATACCCAAGCCCATTCAGCAGCTTTCCCTTCCCAGCCGCTGTGTTCCAGGGCCGTCCATCAGCATTTTCCTCTCTGCCCTTCTGAGCTTGGGCCTGCACCTGGAGGGCTCTTCAAAGGTTCAACACTGCAACAATATAGCTCCAACACCCTCAGGATTAACCAGGCTGCTCAGAAAAGCATGAGGCAATTTACTGCTTGGATGTGACCGGATCAGCGCCACTTCTGAGCAGGACACTACACAACCCTCCTCACCTTTCCTGTGCTGTTAATTACCCATAACCATTATCTCTACTAACGTTAATTGCGCTATAATCTGTGTACCTGGCGTTTGCAGTGTGCAGAGATGGTTTTCATGTTTGCAATGAGTGCTTATGGAAATTTCACTGAATTGAATTCCCACTCTCCAAGGTGCCTTTACAAGGCATTTGGATACTCGAGGATCTGCAACTTCTGTTCTCCATTCTTACAAGCAGGTTTCATGTACCCCTCAGTGCTAAGCTTGGATATACTCATATCAAAATGACACTTGGAAAGCAGAGGAAAGGAAGTGCAAAAAGAAGAGTACGCACACCAAAACGTGCCAGAAGCCAAGCAATGTCTGATGCATCAAACAGCAACCTCTGAATTTCTCCTTCTGAGCCTTAAACATAAATTAAATCTTATATCTACATCTGGAAGCTATAATCTACATCTTTTAAGTAGTCTCACAAAATCAGATGCCTGTACAACGAAAGCCAGGCAAGGCTAAAGGTTACATTTCTACAAAATGTAGGTGATGGTTTAGAAACAGCCTGAAATTCTAGCCCAGTGGTAGCAAAATTGTAAATACTGCCATCTTCTCAAGGCTGAAGAGAGTCCTCAGTCTGTTCCTATAGCTGTGCCAGCCACGCTACCACTGTGCCCAGGTCTCTGACAATATACATCAGAGCTGAGGGAATCACTGACAAACCCAGAGCTTCAGAAACTCTTCTGAGACTGCTGGTTCATGCTGTGGTCTGAAAAAAAAGGAGCTCCAGTCTCCCCCAAAGCTCCCACATGGAATAGCTGAGTCGTGACCCCATGGGCAGCAGCATGAGCCAACCCAACTCCTTATCAATTAAGCCCCCAAACTTTGTCCCATCTCCCAAATTTTCGCTGTTCCAGATCAGAAATCCATTAAGAGAGCTGTTCAGCTCAAAACCCAACACATTTCATTCAGAAAATCAGGGCAGAGAGGGGGGCTGCCCCATGGCCAGGGCCTGCACATTGCAGCTCAAGCTCCCCAAGCTCTGGAGTACTGCTCTAACTCAGGTCAGTGAGTGCCTACCAAGCCAAACTTCAGGACTGCAGCCTTGCTGGCCAGTGCTGTGCAATTTCTGCCTGCGCAGAATTTCTTGATAGGGGAAGGAAAAGAAAAAAAAAGAGAGAGAAAATAAGAAGCGACACAGTAGCTTCTAATTGCTTTTCCATTGATTCAGTGTTGTGTAAGCAAAGAAGGAGAGCAGGAACCCTCATACGTTAACAGACCAATCTATACAGGAAACAGCCTCCTAAGGACCCCAGAGAGCAGCATTTTCTGGACTCTGAAACCACAACAGCAGAGAGAAGATCCCCATAGGCAGAGGTGTGTGACAGGCTGCGGGCAGGAAGCAGCGGCTGCTTTGTGACTTTCCCTCTTCACACGTGCTAGCACAGATGAGATATTACTCATCTGTGCTACATCTGTGCTACACACGTGCTAGCACAGATGAGATATTACTATTATACTTGCTCTCCATTCTCCACACAGGGAATTCAGACCCTTGCACGTATTTGTTTCATTTATTTGAAATTTCAGCAACTCCCTCAGGTTCCAGCCCTGCCAGAATTAGAGCTGTCACAGGCTCAGCTATCACCTACTGCACGCACCATGCTGGAGCAGCACCCAGTGCTGCATGCATCTTTCACCCGCTCCAATTCCAGACCCTTGAACTCTCATCTCCTTCAATAGACAATCACTTTTATCACCCCTACAGTCTATTTTGCTCACAGGAAGGTTCCCCGTTATTAACAGGAGTGGAGCTAGAAGAAACTTTCAGTTCCTGGGATTCTCAGCAGAGACACGTGTATTTAAGCAGAGCTGTTATTTTTCTATCTGAGTAGAGAAAGCCTCTGCTCAGGCATATGTGGGTAAATGCCTAACTTCTTTCGCTTTTTTTTTTTTTTTTTTTTCATGTAGCTGTTACAAAAAATGCTGAATCCCACAAATAAACCTGTGAATGTAAATTCACACTGATGCGCAGAAACTAACACCATTTGCTGCATTCTTTATTCAAGAGGAGCTGATGGCAAAAGGAGGCTTGGATAACATTTCTTTCATCTCTACTCTCTTATATGCTACCAAAAAAAAAAAAAGCTATCACTGTGGCTCAGGACATCTAGTCTTTTCTTACACCCTGACTGTTTGAACATCTATTACTTCAACGTTAACAATCTTTATCTGTTTCAGATCCCTCCACAAGGGATAAAGCCACCCTTTGTGTCTGAACGCAGAAGGAACTGAAGTTACCCAGAAATTCTTCTTTGTGCATCAGCACTCCCCATCAGTCAAATGGCAGAAGCTCTTGCCTGTTTGCAGTGGCAGCCCAGCAAGCAGGAAAATGCACAAATGCAAAGCTCAAAGAAAGCAGTGATTTTTTGCTTAATAAGACCCAACGCAGTTCTGATAGAATTATTTAGTGCCCCAGCATCAGTCCATAGGAAAAG